CAAACAAGTGTGGATGCCACAAATAAACAAACAAACAAGTGTGGATGCCACAAATAAATAAACAAACAAGTGTGGATGTCACAAACAAACAAACAAGTGTGGATGCCACAAATAAACAAACAAACAAGTGTGGATGTCACAAACAAACAAACAAGTGTGGATGCCACAAATAAACAAACAAACAAGTGTGGATGTCACAAACAAACACATAAGTGTGGACGCCAGAAACAAACTAACCCTGCACCACCAAACATTCCCCCCCACTTCTCAGCAAACTCGGCCTGTATCTGGCGCGTGTCGTCGATGATTTGGTCTGGATTTGCGCAGATTATGAAAATGTTAAACATTTTAGGCTTTGGCCAATATTTATTGTGCGGTCAAATATTCGTGGCGCAACTTCTCCTCCAATATCTCTTTAACAGGAGAATCAATGTCACCCTTACTTTGCACAGCAGTTTGTATCAATTTGTCTTAACTTAATCATATTTTTCAAAAACAATTGAGGCCGGATTTAAAAACGTTTCTTCATAAATTTACATAAAATACTATAAGTCTACATCACGCGGAAAATGGACTTGTTCACAGCACTTCCCGCTTCTCACACAAATTTTGTATACACACATATGGCCTACTCACAGCTCAACAATGACACTTTTTAGTGGAAAAACTTCTTACAAAAAATATTTTTATAATGAACCCATTTTTTTTCACTAAAGATTCCCTAAACATACGTTCAGTACACATACTATTGCGATTAGAAAAAAATGACAGACTTGCGTTTAAAAGCGATTGCTGGAGTTGTAAACCTTTAAAAATCTGTAGATCTAGAAACCATTGACTGGGATTTTTTATTAGTGTTTAATAATAAATTTTCTAGAACACAGTGTGCAGGAATTTGAAAAAATATTCACCTGTTAAGACAAATTGATATAAGTCACTGTGCAAAAGTTGGAGAATCTGTGTTCAATAGTTGAGGAGGTATTTCACAATAAGTTGCCACATGAATTTTTTACTGCACTATAGATACAAATTGGAACGAAATTTGAAAGTTGCCCGGAAAAACTTAAAAACAACTTTGGCACCCCGGCCTTCCGGGAAAGTCTATGTGTCGCCAGATATCAGCAGTGAGCCTTTGATATAGTGAGTACTCACACTCAAGTGTCTGTGTCGTCAGTTTGATATAGTGAGTACTCACACATAAGTGTCTGTGTCGTCAGTTTGATATAGTGAGTACTCACACTCAAGTGTCTGTGTCGTCAGTTTGATATAGTGAGTACTCACACTCAAGTGTCTGTGTCGTCAGTTTG